GTAATGCTTTTATAACTTACACTCAGTACTGCATGTGTGTTTTTGAAATGCGTATGATTCAACTGAGACTAAACAGTTCACACTATTATGAAAATGAATAGATTCATTATTAAAACATTGCTAAAAATCAATCAGACATATAGTTATTGTAAAATCAAACTCATTCGCCGAATGTAAACAAACCGTGCGATTGCATAAACGCTTATTTATGGCATGGAACACCAAAATCCGATAAATAATTTTAAAAAATGTGTTTATCTGGAAGAAAACCGGAGGTTTTCAGGATTTTTTAGAAATATCCGGAAGACTTTCATTATTAAATTTGAATCATTTAATTAAGTTATAGTACAAACTAACTTACGGTGAGAAGAATAATGCTAGGTGGTTTCATGGGGTAGTCTGGGGGCAAGATAATTCTGCCATGGTAAATTCCCCCATCAAATTCAGAGTCTGGAGGACCACGAACTGTGAAATGCCACTCAAATAGATTATCCTGAAAATTCGAAATACAACAATATTTAATAATAAAAATGAGCTTAATCTCATCACTGAATCAATTATTTTTATACATACACACATGCATAAGAACACAAATATATTTTGTTCATTACAAACATCTTTAGTTCACATGCATTTCAAGGGTCATCCAAAAAAAAGCTGTTTTTGAGCTAGGGAAGAAACAAAAAGAGGCAGTATGGTGAACTTTTGTGAAAAGTGGCTGAAATACAAACTGCACTTTGATATTAAAATAAAATTTAACCAGTGTGGCTGTGTCAAAAATATCAAAATTGATACTAAACTTAGTATGGGTATGTCAACATTTCATATTATTTCCATATGTTGCTTGACACTTAATCACATATGTAAGAAATTCATATAAAAACCAATCTGCCTTGATTAGGATTTGATCGTTAGCTTACACTGTTAATAGCTTCTCAGTTGTGTTATCAAAAAGAGCTTGAATTTCTTCCAACTCGCACTGTACAGTACATATCTGGTAGACATCTATGGTATACAATAATTCTATTCACATTTTTAAACACAATTATTTTATTCTTTAAACTGAATGCTATGACTTAGTTATATCCCAAAATAAAAGTACTGATATCTATCTATCTATATATACATGTATATAGAATAGAGGTAAGAGCAAAAGATTAAACATTCATTTCAATATTTTTGCAACCTTAGAGTTTCTAAGCTAATGAAGAACCAATATTTTTATTCATGTGTTAACACAGCTTTCTATTGAACCTCTCATTTTATTAATACCTGGTAGAGCATTTTTTTTGTTATTTTCACCCTTTATTTTGATTTATCAATATCTGTACTAGATATTAATAAAGTGAAGAGTTTGATAGAAAAACCCTGTTAACAAGAGAATTAAAAAACTTGGTTTGTTGTTGGGAAAGAGGTAACTCTAATTTCACAAAATTGCTACCACTATTGAAATTCACATTTTCTTACATTGAAAATGTATTTCCAATACATTCTTACCACTTCTCACATAACATTTTTTCTCAACTTGTACTGTCTTCTATATGCATGACGTTTTGCTAACCACTAGTCATGGAACTACCACCTACCATCACGTATTTCCAGGTGAGGCAGCTGCATGACAGCATGCAAGTGAGCATGCTACAACACTCCACCAATAGAAGTGCGAAACAACTCCTAGCACAGCTGACTCCCTCTATGTAGATTAGCTCAACTTCACTTCAAGATTAAGCAACATAAGAAGAAAAAGACACCAAAAGTTGGAAGGAAGGGTTGGAAGTATGAGTGGAGATAAGAATCTATAGAAAATACATTTTCAGTTTAGAAAAATGTTAATTTCTGATATGATATCTTACCTCTTCTCACATAACAGCTAGAATCCCACATTGACCTGGTGGAGGGACTGGTGTAGCTTGACCTAGATATGCCTCTTCAGAAAGTGTCCGAAGGAAGCCTATGGAGTGTGTGAATAAAGAATATGTAAAACACACCCAAGGGAGATCACACCACTTCTGAGCCAGGTATACTCATCTGTGAAATTGATGTGTTGCAATAAGGGTGGAATCATAGGAGGAATCCCATAAATTCAATGAAGGGACCCTGGTATACAGTAGCTAGGTTGTGGCAGACCGTAATGGGGAGTTCTACCCGAACTAACACCAACTGTACCATGATATGAATACCCTGCCCATGGTAATAAAGGGGTCCTCTACCATTCACCTTGGACATGGGAACTGGAAGAGATGATGATTATCTGTTCCAAGGATCCACATCATAAGTGTGCATGTCCAATATAACTAACACCAGTACCCCCTGGAAAAAAACATATGGATGACAGTAGGAAGGCAGACAGCAATGTGATGGTTCAACTCTAGTACAGAACCAGGCAGCATTGGGAATAAATCGTCCAGTCTGCAATAGGAGGAGGGTACCTGGGCTAATCACATGTGAGGACTTATGTGGCTGGTCCAGCTCCAATCAACACCAGTATCCTCCAGGAACGGACATCTGGGAGATGGTAGGAAGGAAGGTGCCCAGCTGGAGGGGTTGAATTGCAATTTGGTGGAAATCATCCAGTCCATAACCAGGCAGCATCTGGAAAGAACATTAAGTCAGCAGTAGAAGGAGTATACACCATCTGCACCAGCAGAACACCACTGCCCTACTCTCAATTAAGTGGAATTGAGCATACTCAGGAGGAATCTCCATGGTCCATCACCCCAGCAGCTAGGAGATGGAAGTGGTAAAGACTCCTGTACTCCACTGGAAGAATAGGGAGTGCACTGAAGATTCCTGAGGAATGCAACATTGGAGACAATGTATGCAACAGGAAACTGCAAAACCTTATATTGAAAAGCAGACCATTCCTGATACAGCCAAACCAAGGATTAGTAGCAATCCCATTCTGCTTTATGATGCAAATCTTAAAATTGGAACACCCCATCTCAACGGTGGGCATTGTTGACCTGAATGGCCATACAGTGTGGGTTTAAGAATAAATATAGAAGGTTAGGTAACACTCACCACTGAGCAAGTTCTGTATATATGAGAAAGACCCTGTAAAAAAGAATAGTATAAAAAGAGCATCTACCTACTCTAGAGAAACCATGGAGCTCAAAGTGTTGATAGGAGGTAGACAGTGAATAGAGGGAGGGTAGAGAAGAACTGAGGTTAGGATCTGAACCCCCAAGAGGCAGAAGAGGATTCAACTGCTGCAAGTCTAAAGTTGACATTTTCCCAAACTGAAAATGTATTTCTAATAGATACCTCTTCTAACAAAATAACTTTTCCTGATTAGTACTGCCCTCTATTAGCACAAATTTTCAATGCTTGCCACTAGCCTTTCTCTTCCCACTTTTGCATATCCATATGCAGAGGATCATGCAACAGCTCTATACCAATAGAAGCATGACACAACTCTTATCACAACCAGCACCCTTTCTACATTTGCATTCATTAATCACTTTGAGATTGGGCAGATGATTTACATCACATATCAGCAGAAGTGGGGAGGTTGGTGGGAAATGTGAGAGAAGATAAATATTTATCAGAAATACATTTTCAGTTTAGGAAAATGTTAACTTCCAATACGATATCTTACTTCTTCTCACAAGATAGCTAGAATCCCAAATTGAACTCGTGGAGGGCTAGAGAGAGACCATGAGGTGGGGGAACCAAAAATAAATCACATCTCAATGGGAGACTGCACCACATCTGACCCAGGCATACTCTTCACTCTATTATGACTGTGTCATGAACATAAAAGGCAGAGAAACATGAAGGAATCCCTTGAGTGGCTAGGGTGTGACAGACCATTGTGGTAGTTTGACCTCATCCAACACAGAATAGGGAATGATACAACAATAGGCAGAGAGTCACCAATCTCTTCACCTTGAAACAGAAATTGGTAGGGAAGATGAGTTTCTGTACCAAAATCTGTCTCCATTTGTGCACGAACCAGCATACAGTGGATGGTAGGAAAGAGGAAAGCCCCGGAGGGATGACATCTCTGGTCCAAAACCTGGTGACACAGGGTATGGTTCTTCAGGCCACAGTAGGAGGAAAATATCCAACCGTACACAAGTGGGAATAGATGTGCTGTGTCCAGCTACAACCAACATTAGATCCTTCAGGAACTGACATCCAGCAAACCATAGGAAGAGGGACTGCAAACCTAGGGTGCACCTCCAGCACAAAACCTGGTAGCATTGAGCATTTTTCATCCAGTCCATAGTAGGAGGGATACTAGCCAAAACACGTGAGAACTTGCTTAGCTGGAGCATCTCCAACCAATATCTGACACCCTGGGAGCCACATCAGAGGATAGTAGGTAAGAGGAACATCTCAGCCTGAGAAGCAAACTGCAATGTATATATATAGTCATGATATGGCAGACTGCTGTGGAGTGCTCAGGGTCCCACGAGCTCTAGAGGGCCACCAAGCCTATTCCAAGGTCTGCTAAAGAACAGTGGCAAACTGAGAACAACAATGTTTGCAGAAAGATTGTCATGTCAGTAACTGGCAATTATTGTTCTGCTGGTCATCCTTTGAACATGCTCTGTCCTCTTTCTGTAACCAATTTATTCTGAACAAGAGTCCGCAACTAAGTAATGAGTAGTAGTAGTAACATTAACGGTATGACTACTGGCTACTAATGTTTTAGTACATACTGTTGCTCTTGTCATATTTCATTCTAAAACTAAACTAGTGGGTGAAATTGTTTAAAATTTGATAAGAATTTTCCTAAAAGTATGTAGTTTCAGAAAAAATAAAACGTTTAATTTTGATATTTTCTTCTATTTCTAATAGAAATTTGTTATTTAATGTAGTCATTTGCATGCTCACTTTGAATAGTTCACCTGCAAGGTGATTTTTATATGAAGTATAAATATACTTTTTTTATCTCAGTTTTCATATTTCACTTTTATAATCTACAGAACCTCATAAATGAATATCAAAAGATTTTTAAGATAAATATTTATAACTTATTTACCATTTTCTCTACTATATCACTAACTATATCTATTATCACCAACATATAGTACAATGAAATGTTTCAAATTAACAAATGGGAAAATGTAAATACCTATCAACTCTTCATAGAAATCCACTAGAATAGTCATATTTTTCTAACATGCGTAACTTAAAATCTTTATCTTTTCACTTATAGCTTATTTTTAATTTTCCTTTCAAATTCTTTGTCTATTATCATTTATGCCCATATATTAACTGAGCAGAGATACATTGCAAAACAATATGGAGCTTATACATGCCATCTTGTTTATAACCTTAAAAAATCCAGGCAACAAGTTAGCCTTATAAAAATCATTAAATTGTTCACATATGATTTTGAAATTTTAAAACAAACATAATACATAATTAACTAAAATATAAAAGTAAGACCTAAATACAATTTAACTCTCTCTCTCTCTCTAACTATAGCATATTTAGGTAAGAAACCACCGTATGTGTTATAGTTGATCAAGCAGACAACAA